TAACATCAACAGCTGGAAGAAGCATAATGAGTTTATAAAAAGAATTAAGTCGACCATTTTGTGACAACTCCAACCAATTAACTTTAGCTCAATAATGATAGGTCATCAACCAAGAAACCTTGTTTTGGATTCTTTAATTGTTGTAACTTGTCCTACAACAGTTCCTTCAATAGGAGTTTTCGGTGGCTTTCACAAATGTCTCGCACCAGCTTTCGATGTGCTAGCACTAGGATTGAAGCCCAAAACATACTGATCTCTGACGGATTTTCCTTGGCCAGCCTTCATCAAGCTTAAGAAACCTACATTAAATTATCAATGATGGCCTTAGCCTCAGCTAGTTCAGTAGTAAGAACAACAATCTTTTAGGACCAAAGCTTGTTTTGTTTCAACAAAGGAGCATTCCAATACAAGAGATTGAACTTTTTCATAGCCTTTAGACATTGGGTCATACATGTTATCATATGCCTTTTGTTGCTCAGCATAGATATCAATAGTGTCATCCAAAACTCTACTTACCATCTTCTTGTGTCATGGTGAGGCTAAAACAGTCTTATCATCACCCGAATCATCATCATCGCTCTCATCATGCTCACTTCTCACTCAAAGTGGCAGCTATGGCCTTACCTTCTTCTTTTTCAGTGGGTAGCACACTCAGGATTGTATGTGTTCCACAACCATTACATTCAAAACACTTGATACCTCTCACATTTAATCTTTTGAAAAACTTCTTGCAAAGGTACCAGGGGGGTTTGATGGTCAAAAAGAATTTCACAAAGGTTTTTGGCTATACCACTATTATGGCTTTGTCATGTTTTTATTAAGAAATTTAGCAAAATTCTTTGTAAGTAAAGAGCAATTTTTCATCATCCAATGAACTTAAATCACAAATCACAAAAGGATCAGAATCAAAGCTCAGTTTTGAGAGCCAAACCTTTGCTCAGTTTCTGTTTTTCCCAGTTTGTTGATTCATCTCATAGGTTTGGAGAAAGCCAATGAGTCCATCGATTCCATAGCATCCACATCTCTGCATTCTTCAATGGTGGGACCTTGACATAAAACTCGAGTGTAAAGACAAAGTTACTTCTAACAAGTTTGCAGTGAACATTGTTCTTCCCAAGGCAAAACACTCATTAGATATATCACAAACTCACCATAAATGTCAGTTATAGGTCTCATCATCATCACATGTTCAAATTTTTGAAATCAGTGACAAGTCTTCTAAGCTATAGTTCTTTTAAACAGTACTATTTTCTCATTCTTGATGAAGCCTATCCAAGACATTTTTTAGCAAGCTCATAATTAGCTATAACTTCATTTGATTCACATTAATAGTATTGAAGAGATCATGATGCTTTAGAGTTATAGTTTGCAAGAGTTGTTCATCACAGTCTAACTAGCAACAGGTTTTGGTCTTAGACACTTCATTTTCAACAATAACTAGGGCTGTCCAAACATTCACAACTGTGAACCAGGCTCTTCATCTATAGACTTAGGAAAGCACGCATTCTAAGTCTCCATGTATAATAATAGGTCCTTCTAATAAAGGTGGTCTATTAACATATCCTCCTTCAATGAAAGAAACTCATGACGAAAAAAAAAATCAGACAGCTGCAACACAGCAAAAGACAAGGGCACACACAAACACACAGTAGATCTAAAATGAAAATGCGGACACATATTAAAATTCTTCCAACAACAGACACTCAGATGCACCAGCAGAAAACAATCAAAATAGGTAAGGATCAACCGAAGCAAGCTATCAGGACCACGCCTGATATCAATTGTGTGGGAGAGAGTGCACATTTAACTTCATTTTGAGGTGTGTGAACATTTTAAGTGAACAAAATCAATTTACCAATTAGATAAACATTTTAAATTTAAAACATCACAACACAACTGCAGGAATTAAAGAACACAAGACACTATAAAGTAAAACCTCTCTATAGTCATAATGGTGGGATCAACTAATTTATTTACTATAAGGGGGTTATAACTAACTGGAGGTGTAGTTACAAAATAATAAGTTTGATCTTTATATTTTTAATTCATGTTTAGGAGTACAGTATTAGAGTTTCAATTCATATTGATCGTAGTATTAGGATTCTAATTCAGGTGCTTTCAATTGCTACTTTTGAAATGGATAGAAAGATCGTGCTTGTAAACAGCAAATATAAGTTCATTGATGGAACTATAAATAGCAGTTGAGTGCATGGTCAATTGATGTGAAACCACAGAACAATTGCCAATGTTTTAAGCATTGGCAAAAGTAGGATCTCCATTCAATGAACTTACAAGTTACAAATGAAGTGGATGAGCAAAATTAAAGAGTCATTGCAAAATTGAGTGATCAGATTCGACAAGAAAAATAAAGAGTGCATGCGAAAATTAAGAGTGATCATTATTCGCACAATTTCATAACACTAATCGAAGGGATATTACATATCTCTTGCGATCACAAATGAGCAACAAATCATGTATGCTTAATCGAAGAAGAACATCATTGCTAAATTAGACAAGAAGAAAAGGAAATAATCCTAAGTGGGCGGATAATACTGAAATACAAAAAGTTTTCATGTATGAACTCGTAAAATATGCTTGAGAAGCTAAAATATTTGGCTTCAACAAGAAGGTGCAATGCTACCAAATTATACCATACTAGGAAGGAAAAAGATGTGGTAAAACTCAAAAAATATACCAATAATTGTCCCAAACAACTTTAGATAAATATTTTATTTCATCTTAAACCTTTAATGTAACATAACATATATTTTTTGGTAATATACAGATAATTATTACTATGTGGAGGCAACTTTCCTTAAGACGGGAATTAGAAAGATTATAACTTATTACAATGTAGAGTTTATTCTTATTTATAACTATCCCAAATTGGGACTATAATTTTTTATGACTATGTAGAGTTTATTCCTATATAGAGTATCACTATAGAGAGGTTTTACTGTACATGGTTCGGCTAAATCCATTTTTAACCTACATCCATGAGACCTTGTCCAAATCAAAAGAATCCACTAAGTTAAAAACACATTACAAGATATAGTTCAAAGCTGATTTAAGTTATAGTAAAAAGAACTCCTTGTTCAACTTTACACTTATAATCACACTCTGAATCCTTAACGTGTAGCAACTCATTAGACCTTCTTTCACCGGGAACACATCCGTGAGGAGCTTGTGAACCACCAAGCTTCAAGCACCGACGCCATGCACCAGCATCAGCAAGGGAACCATGTTCCAAGAGCCATCAATAACGTGTTTGATATGGTGAGGTTTTTGGAACAAATATGGAAATGAACCTTGAACCCTAAGAGAGGAAAATACTTTAAGAAATTCAGAGTGAACTGAAACAAAATATCAAAAGGCTAGATTCATACACACAATAAAGGGTATTATATAATGAAGGATTTCTTGCTTAACAATATAGTGCTAAGTCAGCCAACAAGGGACTGATGCATGTTTGTCCAAATAAGGAAAGTTTTCCTTCTTTTGGCTTGGACCACAAAACAAATCAAGAAAAGAAACTTTGTTCCCTAGGATCACTTGAGGATATTATGACACATTTAAAAAGGTCCTAAAAGGTGATAGACAAAGATACACAATATCTTTTTCACTTTATCAGTCATGCAACTTTTGCTAAGTTGCAAATATCTAAAGGGAGAGTGAAAGCACAACCTGTTGTGCACACACACTCTAAACAAAACAAGCCAAGACTCAAGTCTGGCAACCATTATGCAAGCAGAACTTATGTGCACACACGCAACTCATAAGTTTGACAAATATGAGTTTTCCACACTTCTCATTCAAATCTGCTGGATTACATTGAATCAACGGCTATGAATTTTCATATATTAACATAATTTTCATGCACTATAGGTTTGTTATTATTAAGATGATATTATAAAATACAATGGAAGTGTACAAGTTTATAAATTAATCACTTCAATCCAATAAATTGACAACTCAAATTTTGATCAATTAATCAAATTTAATATATATCTAAAACGAAAATCCATGTACTTAAAATGAAATATCTTCAAACATCTTGCAAAGGTCACAAATAATCATCTTAATTCATATATGAATTCTTAATTTCATTTTATATATTGGTTAGGGTAAATGACATTAATCCCTCTAATGCATGATAAAATAATAAAATCACCTTGAGGTCTCAAATAGAATAAATAAAATACAATTCAAATATATATTTCCCACTGTCATTAAGTTTTAGGTATTAAAATAAATCATAGGAGGATAATTTAGCAATATTTACTAACTCATAACATAATAAACTTTAACACTTCACTACTAGTTCATCAATATTGAGATAAAGAGACAAAGAACAGGTGTTATTTATCCTAGTCAAGGGAGTTTGGTTTAAGGGAGAATATTGAGATAAAGAGACAAAGAACAGGGGTCAGTTTTTGTAACAATTAAAATAACTAGGACTGGTTTGAAATTAGTAGATAACTTGCAGTCTTACACGCTGCGTTTTCAGTTTTATATCAGTTGTATAAAATGCTGCGTTTTGACTATTGTAATATCAGTATATAAAAGAAGAAGCTCTTTTATATACTGATGTAAAATCCTATGACAATTAGAGGAAGGTAGCATCACCATACCTGTGTGAGTTATTGGCAAGGACTCACCATTCCCAACTTGTACCTTAGAACCCCTTGAGTACCCTGATGTCATCAACATAGTATTTGCATCTGCAGTCATATGGTTGGAAGCTCCTGAGTCCATGTACCAGGATTAATCCTTCACTATTTGTGGTATAGCAAGTGTGTGACCAGTATGTGCTGTAGGCAAGATAGTATCTGGTTTGGTGGAAGAACCAGAAGGGCTTTGTGAAAATTGGTGGGAAGCTTGCATGGTGAAGGCTGGACCAGGATCAAGTTGATGTATTGCTGGAGCTCCTCTGCAGGAATAATGCTGGTCTGTTACTTACACAAACAAAGTATGCTCAAGAGCTTTTAGATAAAGCTAATATGGGAGATTGTAAACCGTGTCTCACCTCTATGACTATTAGGACAAAATTGGTCAAAGAAGATGAAAATTTATTTGAATATCCAACACTTTATCGCAGTATCATTGGCGGATTACAGTACCTTACATTGTCCAGGCCCGATATTGCATTTATAGTCAACAAACTTAGTCAAGTCCTTCAGAGTCCCTCGGCTATACATTGGACAGCTTGTAAAAGAGTGTTACGGTATATTAAAGGCACTCTTCAGTATGGTCTTCTCTTTAAGAAACATAATCACTTTAATCTTGAAGCCTATGCTGATACTGATGCTGATTGGGCTAGCGATGTTAATGATCGTCGGTCAACTAGTGGTTATGCAGTATTCCTTGGGGACAACCTGGTTCAATGGAGCTCGAAGAAGCAAAAGGTGGTTTCTTTATCGTCTACGGAAGCTGAGTATAGAGCCTTAAGTCAGGCTGCAACTAAAGTGATTTGGGTTCAACATCTCTTTAAGGAACTAGGGATTGAAGTTAAAAAGACTCCTATCATTTGGTGTGATAACATGAGCGCTGGTACCTTATCCTCCAATCCTGTGTTTCATGCTCGAACAAAGCATATAAAGATAGATGTACATTACGTTAGAGAGCTGGTTGCAGAAAAAAACTTGGCTGTTCAATATGTCTCCACCGAATTTTAGAAAGCTGATATCCTGACCAAAGCTTTGCCAGGCAGCAGATTCAATACATTGCGGGAGAAATTGAATGTGTTTGCTATCTTACCTAGTTAAAAGTGTTGTGTTGAATGATTGAAAAACAGTTTTAGTAGTAGAGTTGATAGTTTTAAGTTCCAGATTTGAAGTTGTTGAGCAGACTTGCAGGTTACTGCAGAACAGAGTTGCAGTTTCTTGATTATAGTAGAATGATTGCTGAGTAGAAATTGAAAGAGATGAGAAGCAGAGTTGAAGTATAAAATTGAAGTTTTTTTTTATTGTCTTTATGGCAACATGTTGCTAAGGAGACTTGGATAAAATTGAACATTTTTTGTCTTTATGGCAGAATGTTGCTGAGGAGACTTGGAGGTTACTGAAGAATAGAATTTTTTTTTTTTTTTTTCAATAGAATGTTGGTGAGCAGTTTTGAAAATTACTGCAGAATTACAGAATTTATAGGAGTTGAGAGAGTCAAATTTATGGGGTAATACTAAAGAAATGGACTGTAGAGCAGAACAGTTTTGAAAATTACTATAGAATTACAGATTTTATAGGAGTTGAGAGAGTCAAACTTATGGTGAGCAGTTTTGAAAATTACTGCAGAATTACAGAATTTATAGGAGTTGAGAGAGTCAAATTTATAGGGTAATACTGAAGAAATGGACTGTAGAGCAGAATGCGAGCAACAGGTATTCACCTAGTCAAGGGAGTTTTGGCTAGTCAAGGGAGTTTTGGTTTAAGGGAGAATATTGAGATAAAGAGACAAAGAACAGGTGTTATCTGTCCCAATCAAGGGAGATTGGTTTAAGGGAGAATATTGAGATAACGAGACAAAGAACAGGTGTTATCTGTCCCAGTCAAGGGAGTTTGGTTTAAGGGAGAATATTGAGATAAAGAGACAAAGAACAGGGGTCAGTTTTTGTAACAATTAAAATGACTAGGACTGGTTTGAAATTAGTAGATAACTTGCAGTCTTATACGCTGCGTTTTCAGTTTTATATCAGTTGTATAAAATGCTGCGTTTTGACTATTGTAATATCGGTATATAAAAGAGCTTCTTCTTTGTGAGAGCTCACAAAATAAAGAAAACATAAAGTACTCTTTTAACACAGCTCGTGTAACTAATTTTTCTCTTGCGTGTATTTTTTTTCTTTTCTTGTTTTCCAGTAGAATTTCTTCAATCGAGAACAGAGATATTTTTGTTATTTTAAAAATCTTAGAGAGGGTTTGGTTATTCATACCTCAGGGGGATCTATGTCTTTAACCCAAATGGTTATTCTAGTCACATTTCATCAATCACTTGTGCTAGATTTAAACATTAGTGTTGAGTTATCATCTAATAATTAGCTTAAAGTATTTGGATGATCATATGGTTACTTATTAATTAATTATCGTAATCCCAAACTAGCTATATCACCAATTTTTTTTTTTTTTTTTAATCCTCCCTTGATTTATAAATTGTTGAGTTGACATTGATTTATATTTTATGTGCACTTTAATATTTGGAGGACTAATTAAAATAAAATTGTATATTACGTTATAAATCCATCTATAACTTATTGAGAAGAAATTACTTATTCGGATGGTAACTATTGCGTTTTAATTAAATCAACCCCTGAATTATATGAAAATTCATAGTCAGCACATCTGAAATAGACTCCGTAAGGATTATGTTAGAAATTTAAGGGATAAGGATGTAATTTTAGTTTTTTCTTTACTTCCCTTAAAACTTATTAACAGAAACCCCATCCCCAAATCGCCATCGCCTCTAGATGGGAGGAGGTGGGGCGGTGATTTTGGTTTTGCTTGTGTGAATGTTGTTCTGGTGGTTTTCAATGAGATGGGTTTCATTCTTGAGATGGTTTGTGGGTGGAGGTGTTTTGCGATTAGAGGGCAATGGCAGGAATTTGCAGTTAGCAGTGGCTGGGTTTACGGGTGGGGTTACTTTTTGGGGTGGTTTTATTTTTAAATTTGATTTATTTGTTCAGTTTTGTGGAATGATAGAAAATAAGGGGTAAATTGGTCTTTTTATCATTTCATCAACGGAAGTTTAACTCTGTTAGAGCTTGGGGTGGTTGTTGATGGATTTTATGGAATTTAGAGGTGAGTTTAATACAAATGCCATAGTTACCATTTGACTAATATAACCTTTAATGAACCACTATTGGGTGACCTAGCAGAGATTTAGGGGTGAGTTTAATACAAATGCCATAGTTACTATTTGACTAATATAACCTTTAATGAACAACTTTTGGGTGACCCAACAGTCAACTAGGACTCTTGGGTGTATTACTCAAGAGGTCTTGAGTTCGATCCACTTAGATTGCTAATAGGGGTGATTATTGAGGGAATTTATATGGTTGTCAACTTTAGGGCCCCAAGGGATTAGTTGAAGTGCACACAAGCTGGCCCAGACACCCTTGCTACCAAAAAAATAAAAATAAATAAATAACCCTTAATTACTTTAGGATTTTTATTCGAACAAATGACATGTTTTCACCCGAGGTTTGATGAAATCCCAAATAGATACCCCTGGTTGCATTTATTCCAGATTCATGCCCTTAAACCAACACCATTTCCTTTATTTTAACAATCGAAGGTTAGAATGGTCATTTACTATTTTTATTTTCTGCAAATCTCTCTCACCCATTGCCGCCTCTTCTTTTTCTTTTACCCATTCTTCTTCTTCTTTTATCACACTCAAAATGTGCCTAGACTTCATTTTTTGCAAACACCATCTCTCTCATCCACTGTCGCGTCTTCTTTTCTTCCACCCATTCTTCTTCTTTTAACCCAACACACATTTTCACTCTTCCCACAAATCACAACACCCATCTTCACTCTTCCCACAAATCACAATATGTAAGAACGTGAAATATTTAACCCAAGAACATGGCCACTTTATCAAGACTACCCAAATCCATGACCCACTTATCGCCGTCGAGATTCTTCGCTTCTGCTCTCTCTCTCCGACCGCCGTGACTTAGACTACGCACGTAAGGTTTTTAACCAAATGCGTGAACCCAATTGCTTTTCTTGTAACACTCTTATAAGAGCCTTCAGTGAGAGTAACTGTTGGGATTTATGCATTTTGGACATGGAAAAAGTGTAAAAATGATTAACAAGATGATGGATACACAGTAAAGCACAAACATAACACATACGCCCAAAAAAATTCAAGGTAAGGATGGAATATTACCTACTCCTTTGCTATTCAACACTTGAATCTTCTTTCTTGGAGTCTTAGTTCTTCAAGAGAACTTGAAGAACCTCAAAATTTGATCCACACAAGTCAAGGAAGAGAGATTCGAGAGAGTGAGAGAGTGATTTTGTTTCAATTGTCTCAATTCTATGAAAATGGTATAACACTTGGTTTATATACCGTGGGTATAACATTTGATTTATATACCATAAGCACAAAGTGTAATTTTAAATTATCTTGGGAAGTCCTCAAACAATTTAAAATTAATTTTGGAAAAGTTAAATTATCTTGGGAAGTCCTCAAACAATTTAAAATTAATTTTGGAAAAGAGCATTTATGTCAAGTCCTTGGTTTTATGGTTAATTCATAATTAGTCCAAATTTTAATCCTATTAAATATACTAACTCTTTAGAATAAAACCAATGCACTTTTGTCCCTATTATTGAATCCTATTCAATAATAATATTTAATAAATCATTATTACCCTTGGTTAGTGCTAGCTATTCATGGGTAATCATTTCTCACCAATACATTAATTTGGATGCAACTGTTTATGTCCAAACATCATTAATCCAATTAATGATATGTATTACTCTCTCTCCTTGAGCTTGGTTTTATGCGTGACCATTTTGCTTCACTGTGATCTAGCCATGGGCCCAATATCAGATTCTGATATGTTTCGTAATAATTCTTTATAATCAAAACTTCCATTGATTATGGTAGATGTCTAGCAATGTTCCATAACCCCTAAACCACAATGAAGTGTAAACTCCAATGAACCTATTTTGATCGTGTAATCTCTCACCAGGCAAGTATTCACTGAGTATTCTATAGAGAGAATCCAGAGAATTGCCAGCTTAAAAATGGTGTTCGTCTAAAATTTTTATCCTTAATCCAGTTATAAAATACTATTACACAATGACTATTTCTCACATATATAAAAATAATAAGAATCATTTTCTAATGAACCAGAAAGCATGAAGATGTTCTCTAAATATTATTACTACCAAAAATACATACATAAATCCACATTAATTCCTTTATTGAGACAGTGTGTGCAACCCTCTCTCCAGCTTGACGTCTCCCGACCGCTACAATCTAATACCTGCAAAAATAAAGAAAGCAACGGGGTGAGATATAAATGCTCAGTAAGTAAATCAAATCTAACTATGCTCTTACTCCGTTGTCCTCGTTTTCGCTGTACTGCTTCTAAATTTCTACTTGCTTTCTCTCTTTATTATCAAGCGTACTACTTCGCAGTCTTCTATTTTTCTCAAATCTTTCTAAATCTTTCTAGTGTTGTGCTATTCTTTATCATTTTATTTCTCTTCTCTGCTAGATTATATCTTTCTATTTCTTTCTCTACTCAACAAATCGGTAAGTTTCCTTGCTATTTGTCATGTTTCTAATTTCTATTCTTTTCTAGCATATATCTAATTTTTGTTCCTTTCTCATATATCTCTAATTTCTTTTCTATTGTCGTAGGCTTCTATTTTCTTTTCTTCACTATTTTCATGGGCTTCTATTTTCTTTTCTTCTCTATTTTTATGGGCTTCTATTTTATTTTCTTCTTAATTTTTATAGGCTTCTATCTTTTTTTCTTGGCTAGTCAGACATGCAATAATAAAATAAACTCTTTAATCTATGCATAAATGCATAAAATGCAATGAACATAAAATGTCTAATGCATATGCAAATGGTCATGTTTGTATTCTTTTGGAAAATTCTTTTCTAATTCTTTCTGAAATTCTTTTCCTTTCTTTCTGCAATTATTTATGTTTTCTAT